GTAGAGTAGGCACTTTATATTCTAATCCATAGCTGAATTGTGTCATAGTTAACAAGCAAAAATATGCACTAGGCCCTTTGCACATGGGGTGGTCTTTCTATTCTCCAAGATTGGACACAAACCATTAGAGGCCCCAGTATCCATAGGATGGATTCCTTGTACCCCATCACCCATAGAATGAGCGGTGACCCCTTGTACACCTTACTTTCCCTGAACATTTCTCTGTTACCCATCCTGCTTGTGAAGATGCATTATATATATATATATGACATTCCAGTTTATAAACCCATGTGTAGAAAATACAGCTGATGTGTCTAGTAGTGAGTAGAGGTCAGTTTGTTTAAATTATAAATTTAGGCCCAGCATACTTTTCAGCTCCAGAACGCATGACGCCCACAATACAGCACTCAAGAGATGGAGGGAAATACAAGAATGATGATCATGGTTCACCTCATATTTTCTTGTAACAGAATTGTCACAGAACAAAACAGCCTGCATTATTTCCCTGACTGCATGTCCTGTTTGGGACAATTTGACACATAAATTAATTATTCCTCATTGAGACTTTAAAAAGTGACATTGTAATTTCAATAAATAAGCAGAATATGGATTATTAGCAAAACTAATAAATAAATAAATAAATAAATAAGTAAAAACAGCCCATGAGCATTCACTGCAATTCGTGACATATAGGAGGGACCCTAATCATTCCTGGTAAAGAAGAGGTCTGGAGTACTCCATTTGTAGTAATTGTTCATGTTTATTTCTTTAACTGTTTGATTGCTGGCTGCTGGTGTGGCCAACAGACAAATACTGTAGATTGGTGTTATTGTGCACATTCAGTGAGATTCCCCAAATGTCCCCCTGACCTGCCTTTAGAAAATATTCAGTTTGCAAATGTGAGGAAACCTCTTGGATTTTCACAGAATTTTGTTAATCCAGAATGCATGCATTGGATCTAAGTGAATAACCCAACATTGTTGATTAACTACTACACCCAAGGTCATGGCATCCATCCAGATCATTGATCATTGTGCCTCACAAGACACATCAGGACTCCATATAATTCCAAACCCTCTCAGTCAAACCCAGATGGTGAGCAGAACTGTCTGATTCACTAAGTGTCAATAACTACTAAAGAAACAATGACATGTGGACAGGTAGAGGCACATTTCCCTACCTATGTTTATGCTAATGATTCTTACTTGGTTTAATTACAGGTTCATTACCTTAAAGGAAACAAGTCTGGACAAGAATCAAGAATAAAACAATACCAAAGCAAAGCTAAATGGAAGTGCTTCCTGGTCTTTAGCCACATGTAAAATCTCTTGCTGAACATATTTAAATATTTGTTCTATTTATTGCTTCAGATAATTTTACACTTATCATATTCTGAAGAAAAACGAATTTCTCTGATGTGTTATGGTTTTTGGTATAAAGGTTAAAAAGAACTTGCATCACTGGTAATGTGCCCAGCTGTAACAAAGGTGAGTCATTACAGTACTATACACACCAAGATGACTGGCAGTGTGGCCAACCAAGGTATCAGGGATGCCCATGTGTTGAGCGCTGCTGAACTAAAGGTGTGTGGTCAGAAATGATCTATAATTCTGCCAATGTAAGAGTGGTTGAACATGCGCTCAAACTGTAAAATTTGATCCACTACTGCCAACATCATGTGAGTAATTGTTCATATCTGCTGTATCAAAGAATCAAATAATATGACATGACAAGTCTGATTGTGTCATCTGTGCAAAATAAGGACATTCCTGTTCGATTTACAGATAAAAGACAATTCAGCTGGGGACATTTTGAAAAGATTCCTCTTAAAGGGTTGTCATATCAACATTATCTTTTAATATAATGATCCTTACATCAAGTTTTGAAATGAAATTCTACTGTTTGTTAAATGAAGTATAGTATAAGATAGGATCGTTCAGCCATATACAAGCACCTTGGGTGGGACATTGTTGGGAAACCTCTAATTAGTCTCTCTGGTCGTCCCTGCTTAACTTCCTGCACAGTGCAGTGACATCATCAGACCAACTACCTGTCAAATTCAACGCCGTCTGACTCGCTTCATTTAACATAGAATCCCTAACCTTTTGAAAATTTGATGAAAGGATTATTGTATTAAAAAATAGTGTAAGGGGACAGCTCTCATTTAATGTAATTTCCAATATATCAAGCCGTTATAGTGACACAAGAGAGCAGCACCATTTCTAAAGGCACATGAAATTAAGGTGTGAATGGCTGTTAATTATTGTATTGTTGATGTCATGTATTTGTATGTCTTTGTATATCTGAAATTACGTTGTGATATATACTTGTGTACTTTGCATCCTTAGGGCAAGTATAGCTAAGTGGTGTACCCCTTTTAAAGGTACCAGACCTACCATATTTTACTGGATGTTAATAGCTTATTAATGTCAAGTAGCAAATTAAAGGACCACTATAGTGCCCGTAAAACATACTAGTTTTCCTGGCACTATAGTGCCCTGAGGGTGCCCCCACCCTCAGGGTCCCCCTCCCGCCGGGCTGGATGGAGAGGTTAAACTTACCTCTTTCTCCAGTGCCAGGCAGGGAGCTCTCCTCCTCCTCCCTCTTTGGCTGAATGCGCATGCCCAGCAGGAGCTGCGCGCGCATTCAGCCAGTCCATAGGAAAGCATTCACAATGCTTTCCTATGGACGCTGGCGTCTTCTCACTGTGATTTTCACAGTGAGAAACGCGGAAGCCCTCTAGCGGCTGTCAATGAGACAGCCACTAGAGGCTGGATTAACCCTAATCCAGCCTAACCCTAACCCTATGTTTATAGAAAAAAGGGTTAACCCTAGATGGACCAGGCACCCAGACAAACTCATTAAGCTGAAGTGGTCTGGGTGCCTATAGTGGTCCTTTAAGTATGCAGAAATCACATGTAGCAGGAGGGGAATCAAATGGTTAATCAAAGCATCTCTTTTCCAAAACTCTCCTTGACGAATCATTTATTTTCCTTCGAATAGCATGTGTATTCTGCATGATACCTCTTTAAATGAACACTCTAATGTTAGGAAAACAAACATATATTCCTAATGTTAGGATGCTTTTATAATTATTTACATACAGGCGTCCACCACGGCAGAAAGATAAAAATAATCAGATTTATGCACTTTATAACTTTCAGCACGCTGCTCTAGCCGAGACTGAATCTCCTCCCCGGCACCACTTAGCATTTCCTTATAGAGATGCATTGACACATTGCATCTTTATGCAGAGCATGAAGATACTGAACATTAATTCTGCAAAAATTGCAGGGCCGCACCAGGAAACCCCTCTAGTAGCTGTGTGAGTGACAGCCACTAGAGGTGGCCTTAGAAAACCTTTTCTCAGAAAAAGTTGTGTTGGCATTGCTGAGACTGCAGCAATTTTACACTATCTTTTTACATTAGAACCACTACATTAAAAGTACACTATAGTCCGCAGAACTATAACAGCTTAATGTAGTAGTTCTGGTGTCCATAGCCTGTCCCTACAGGCTTTTCAGTGTAAACACTGCCTTTTCATAAAAAAGGTGGATCCAGAACTAAATGTCGTGAGAGGCACTGGTAGTGTTGGGCTGTAGATGGGTATAGAGCTGTAGTGTAGGGGACAGGGGAGCGGAGGGGGTTAGGAGGCTGTAGTGAAGGGATAGGGGCAGTAGAAGAGGTATAGGGGGCTGTAGTGGAGGGTTAGGGGGATGTAATGGGGGATAGGTGCTCTGGTGGGGGAATAGGGGGCTGTAGTATACACACTGAGCACTGACGTGTGACATCACCGGCGCTAATTAGAGCAGGCAGTGTCAGAACAACTGCAGAGAGGGCTGCTGTGCAAGAAACTAATCTGCCCCTCCTAGCAAAGGGTGACACAGAAGCACACTAACACACAGATACACACATGTACCCACACTAAAACAAACATATACTTGCACAGACACGTAAACTGGCAAACACATATCTACACAAGCACATACACACATATACCTACACACACAGATATATGCACATACACACGGACACACACATACCTACACATACAGACACTGGCACGCACACACTTATACATACCTATCTATAAATACATACACTGGCACACATACAGATACACACACACACTGGCACAGGGAAATACACATACATACCTACACATACTGGCACACAAGCAGATACACATACTGGTAAACACTGACACTCACAGATACACATACAAACACTGGCACACACACATATTTTACATACATAACACAACACATACACAAACTGAAATGTACATGTTGTTAATCACCCGCTGCTACCATAGCTTCTGGTTGCAAGGGGGTAACTGGTGACTCATGGGCTGGCTGCCACTGATAGAAGGCCGAGGCTCTCTGTCTTAGGTGCTCCCTCCATGTGTCCCCCAGCACTGGACGCATACATTAAAGGGGCCCGGTCACGCTGCCAAAATCCTACATGGAACAACATTAAAAAAAGTAATATCCTTGCCATATTTACATTATGAGACAGTATATAAATTGCTCAGGATAGATACGTTTTTAAAATGTTGTTACTAGCAACGAACTAGCTAAATATATGAAGGAAGCAGGGTAAACGAAACAATTTGCAAAGATTAAAAAAAAGCTAATTGAGTGCCTTTAAAAGGCAGGATAACTGTTACAAGTGCAAGTTAGGACGTTACTGCATACTGACACAGGGCGACTGTCACCTGTCAGTAACTCAAATTAAATGTAAAGCAAATTTCACATTTTGGGGTAAAACTGCAAAATTTAGGGGGAGAAAAAAAATCTCCATGTCTGCTACATATTCAGAGCAGCTCCGAGGTCCAAAATGTGAAATTCATTTAGCTTTGACCTTGCGCGCCAAAAAATTCTATTTCGAACACAGACGGAACGTTGCGCTTAGCGAGGGAATTTGTAAGGTAGGTGAAAGGCGATGAATTCTTCTGGCCAATCAGGAGAGGTAATGAGCTAACCAATCGGTGACTAGTTCTTAATCAGTCACGTGGTGCCAGGAAGAGAAGCTGAACTTTAATTCTTGGTTAGCCATGGCATCGCTGGCTGGTACTTCCTATTTCCGCAGAGCCAGTGTGATCTGGATGGCAGTCATCGCCCTGTCTATGGGCTTTTTTGCAGTAAGAGGGGATAGTGCATTGTGGGCGATTCCATGTTAAGAGTATTTGCTGTTTGTGTCAATGAGAAACCCCATTGTAAGCACATGACAGAGCAATGTTCTGCTGTATCATTAGCTCCAAAGGGTTAAAAATACACACATTATTCACATACATTATTTTGTAATTCGTGGGTTGCGGTGTAGTTAACCATAAAAAGTAGGTGAAATATTTGTACATGAATATAGAACTGTGTCCTTATTTTCATCCAAACAAGAATACGTTCTGATTCTCACAAAATATGTGTTTCTATAATGTGATATATACACAAATAAGGATGCACACTGTAGTGAGGGTGTGAGAAAGGCAGCCGCAGAGTTGCCGAAACGTTGGGGGGAATTGGTGAGTCATGTTCTGTCCTATTAGGCTTGTTTGTTGGTGGTCATTACCATAGGCGTGTGCAGCCTATTGCATTAGGGTGTGCACCCTAAAGCACAAGCACACGCCGCGTATATATATGTGTGCGCTGTGTAAGGGTGCTGTTAGTGTGATGTGTGTGAGGGTGCTGGTAGTTTGCTATGTGGGTGAGGGTGTTTGTGTGTGTGTGTGTGTGTGTTTGTGCTTGTGAGGGTGCTGTTAATGTACTGTGTGTGAGGGTGCTGTTTGTGTGTGAGGGTACTGGTAGTGTGCTGTGTGTGTGTTTGTTAGGGTCCTGTTTGTGAGGGTACTGTTAGTGGGTGCTGTATGTGTGTGGGGGCTGTGTATGTGTGTAGGGCCTGTGTATGTGTGTGGATGCTGTATGTGTGTAGGTACTGTGTGCTGTGTGTGTGGGTGCTGTATGTGTGTGGGTGATTGTGGGGGTACATTACTTAATATCCCCCTTCCCTTCTTACCTTATGTAGGGAGGGGGGATTCTTGTTCCTGCTGCTTTCCCTGGTGGTCCAGTGGAGAGTGAACTCTAACAGAGTTCACGCTCGCGAGATCTGAGCATTGCCGGCAATAGCTCCCCGGGTCCTCTCCTGCCTCCCTCAATGCCTGTGGGTCGGTGGGGAGGGAGGCTGAGAGCAGAGCCGGCGCTCGGATAGCGCCGGCTCTGCATGAGCCAACAGGGGATATCCTGAGATCTCCCCTGCCGGTCTCACGCTATAGGCGTGCTGCGGGGATTAGGGTGTGCCCAGGCACACCCGGCACACCCCGTGCGCACGCCTATGGTCATTACATTTGTTCATGTGCCTTGATTGACTTGTTGCGTTTTTTTGGGGTTTTTTTGATTTAGCATTTATGTATTTTTTTATGTGTTTTATTGAATAAAGAATTTATAAATAAATTTCACTTATTAGTTAAATACAGTGTGCATCCTTATTTGTGTGTGTATGTGTAATATATACTATATTTGGTTTGGAAGGCATTTGCGGGAGTGCATTATAAGGTTTTGCACCTGAGGATATAAGTCGTAAATTAGGTTTATCCTCCATGTGATTTTGTTATTTTACTGTAATATGATGCAATATAATTAGGGATTATTCTAGTTTAAGTGACTGAATGAATAATCAAAATTTTATTAAAGGACCACTATAGTGCCAGGAAAACTTACTTGTTTTCCTGGCACTATAGTGCCCTGAGGGTGCCCCCACCCTCAGGGTCCCCCTCCCGCCGGGTTCTAGGGGGAGGAAGGGGTTAAACTTATCTCTTTCTCCAGTGCCGGGCGTGGAGCTCTCCGCCTCCTCTTTGGCTGAATGCGCATGCGCGGCAAGAGCTGCGCGCGCATTCAGCCAGTCCATAGGAAAGCTTTATCAATGCTTTCCTATGGACGCTGGCGTCTTCTCACTGTGAAAATCACAGTGAGAAGCGCGAAAGCCCTCTAGCGGCCTTCAATGAGACAGCCACTAGAGGCTGGATTAACCCTCAGGTAAACATAGCAGTTTCTCTGAAACTGCTATGTTTACAGAAAAAAGGGGTTAAACCTAGCTGGAGTGGTCTGGGTGCCTATAGTGGCCCTTTAAAGACAGGAGGCAAATATTTGCTTATCTTTCTTTACTGAAACTCCCAGCAGCAAAGAAACAGTTAACATTAGTGTAAAAAAAATTCAACCAGAGTGCATAACAGTAATATACAGTGCCATTAGACGTCTCCCAATTCCTCTTTCTTGATGTCGCCGAACTGTAGTAGTGCCAACTTTGTAAACTAAACTATTAACGAACAGTAGATCCTCATGAAGTCAACCAGGTAAACAAGCTGTACAAAGACTGATTAGAAACTCCCTGCAGAGTCAATGCGAAAACTTCACACTAGGAGAAAAAGAGAGAGAACCGTGAAAGTATGGTCTCTTGGGTAAGATAAATTAAAATACTCACAAGTGATTTTAAGATAACTTGAATTTAAATCTGAGCTTAAGTGTTATTAATCAATCTAACAACTTTACTATAGTCCACACAGTAAGGCACCAGCGTATGATATAACCACAACTGGTATGCAACTAACTTCGTGATCTGGAGTGAACAAATAAATATTAGAGTCTGGAACTTACCTTGAAGAGTGGGAGAAAGTATTGTAAGGGCGGGAAAATATTCGCCTCCTGTCTTTAATAAAATTTAGATTGTTCAGTCACTTAAGCTTGAATAAGCCCTAATTTTATGGACAGGAGGCTTCATATTTGCTTTTTTTTTTTTTTAACGCTCTTCTATAATAGGAAAAGCAGCGTGCGTCGTAGTGGATTCTCTTGACCAGTCTGCAGAAGATAAAATATCCGACAGAGAACTGTCCGCACGAAATGCAGAAGATGCGGTCGCACCTCTAACCGAATGAGCACCAAAAGATTGGTCAATTCCTGCATTAGTGAGCAACCATTTGATCCAGCGTGCAATCATGGAAGAGGAGACTGGTTTGTGCAGTCTAACATAAGAAATGAGCAGCGGTCTTGAAGGAGGACATAGATTAGTTTTGCTGTCAATGTATTGACGGGTACAACTGACAATGCAGAGAGACGGTCTGTCCGGGAAGTAAGGGTAGAATACTGATGAGGAATTCGTCTTTGTATGTCTGGTAATGGTAAATCTGACTCCGTCTGGTGAGAGAACCATTGTAAGAGTCAAAGGCCTGCCCGTCAGAAACTCTACGAAAAGACACGTGGCACAAAAGCAAGGCCAGTTCTGCAGAAAGCTGGCATAGGGATAAGGCCTTGTTAAAAGGCCAGGTTTCCAACAAGGAGAAAACTAGAGACATCCCAGAAATTGTAATATCTGGCAGTATGGGGTCTAGTCAAACGAATCCCCCGTAGAAGTCTACAAACAGAGGGATGTTTCTCTATCGGTGAATTATCAATGGTATCATGAGCCGCAGAAATGGCAGACCGAAATACATTGATTTATCTGTAGGACTTGCCCTGATCAAAGAGAAAGGATAAGAAGTGCTGAAACGGGATCAGTGTCTCTTTCCAAACACCAGCCGACCCAAATCTGACATGCTGAGAGGTAGGTTCGTCTAGTTCCTGGGGCCCATGAATCCCATAAGAGTGATAGAGCTGGGATTAATAAACGTACGACAGATAAGAGGATGTGTGAAAGTGCCCACAGATCCAACGGTTACAGTGCCAGAGAAAAAAAGGCAGGAAAATAGAGGAAGGGTAAAATGGCCGCCGCGATGTCAGGTGGGCGCAGAAAAGACGCGGGTCAGAGGGGAAGCCCAAGAAAAGCGCGGCTCCATGGGAAACGGTGTCCGCGGCCGCAATGTCTTGAATGGGAGATGAGGGAGCGGTCCAACAAAGGTCTGGAATTAACAGGAACCAAGGTAAAAACCCCTGTGGGCCGTTATAGAAATTGCCCGCACAGTAGAAACACAAAGAGTCTCTGCAACTCAGTCAAATGGCAATAGGAAGGAAATTACACAAATTTGAATAAAGGTTACATAGATAACAATGGGCATGAAAAAAACATGCAAGAAGTGCTAAAAATATGTACCATGAAGCAACTAAGGTACATAAAGGAATTTGTATAAATATAAAAGGTTTAACCAAGCTGAGCAAATCATAAAATTAAACCATTAAAGGCAACGTAATTAGAACAGACTCACCTGGGAGGCAAGCAGGAAAGAAAAAGGAATTGAGAGGAGTCTAAAGGCACTGTATATTCCTGTTATGCACTCTGGTTGAATTTTTTTTACACTATTGTTAACTGTTTCTTTGCTGCTGGGAGCTACAGTAAAGAAAGATAAGCAAGTATGAAGCCTCCTATCTTGCCATAAAATCATGTTATTACATGCACTTTATGAAATACTGTTTGTTTGTTTTTTAAATTATTTTTAGTGTGTCATTTTGTCTTCAGACAAGCACTGCAAACTGTGTTTTTCCCCTCTAAACTATGATGAGAGGCAAATTGAATACCAGATAATATATTATATACTCGAATATAAGTCAAGACCCCTAATTTTACCCCCAGAAAACTGGGAAAACTTATTGACTCGAGTATAAGTCTAGGGTGGGAAATGCAGCAGCTACTGGTAAATTTCTTAATAAAATTAGATTCCCCAAAAATTATATTAATTGAATATTTATTTACAGTGTGTGTATATAATGAATGCAGTGTGTGTGTATGTATGTGATGCAGAGCCTTGGTGGGGGGTGGGCATTTTTATTATTATTTTTTTTTATATTATTATTATTTTAAATTTTTTTTATTTATATATTATTCATATTTTTGTTATTTTGTATTATTTAAATTTTTATGTAATTTTTTTCCGTCCCCCTCCCTGCTTAATACCTGGCCAGGGAGGGGCTCTCATTCCCTGGTGGTCCAGTGTTGTGCACTGTGTAGCAGGGGGGCTGGCAGGAAGTGTTTACTTACCTTTCCTGCCGCTCCTGTCAGCTCCACTGCCGCGCGGAGCGTTGCCGCGGGTCTGACCCTGCGGCTCTCGCGAGACTTACAGGGGGAGCTGACAGGGGAGCTGACCGGACCGGAGGAGAGAGAAGGGAGCTGACAGGAGCCGCAGGAAAGGTAAGTAAACACTTCCTGCCAGCCCCCAACAGGACCGCCGGAGCTTGTAATGAGCCCAGCGGTCCTGGTCTGTATTATGGCAATGTAAGTTGCCATAATACAGACACTCACTTGAGTATAAGACGAGTGGGGGGTTTTCGGCACACAAAAATGTGCCAAAAAACTCGTCTTATACTCGAGTATATACGGTATGTGTAATTTGGAAAATGAAACATTGATTTTTTTTATTTTTTATTTATTTTTTGCTGTATGTAATTTCACTTCAATAAATCACATCGTACTAAGTTGAAAGACTTGTGTGTGCATCCTGGATTTCTCCTTGAGCTATATATAGTATTTCATTTGCCTCACGGGTGATTATATATAGATAGTTAATACATTGTTAAACAAAAATCTGCACACCAGTCAAGCCATAAGACTTGCTTTTCCCACAGAAATCTGAAATTTGCAGTGATGTTACTACCGCAAAGGATTCTGGGTGGTCATATGCAAATTAGTTTAACAAAGAATTACATTTTTGCCTCATTCCATTTTAAACATTAACTATCCACAGACTATCCACAGGGGTTTTCAGTCACAATTTTTTCTCCACCATAACCTGTTTGGTATTGACACAGACATTCACAGGCACACACACGAATACATTCACAGACACACACTCACAGACACTCAGACACACACTAACAGACACATACAGACACACACATTCACAGACACACACACATAAATGATTATTTTTGTAATTAAGAAAATGGCCACCCAGCCTCCCTACCTGGAGAGCTGGTGTGGACCTGTCCCTGGGGTCCAGTGGGGCGGACGGCTGTCTCCATTTCAGACACGACGAGGGAGCTGTGTCCTCTCTGCTCCCTCTCGCCGCGCGGGCTGTCTGCTGATGCTGGGAGCCGGAATATGACGTCATATTCCGGCTCCTGGCATCAGCAAAAGGCACTCGGCGAGAGGGAGCAGAGAGGACACAGCTCCCTGTGTCATATGGAGACAGACGCCCGCCGGGGGGGTCCATCTGGTGGCCATTAGGTCACCTCTTGGCCCCCCATGACAGGTGGAACACGGGGGGCATTTGGAACCGCCCCCTGAGTGCCTGCAAGAACAGCGGGAACGGCGTTCCTGGTAAAAAAAAAGTGCTGAAACACCGTCCTGCAGGACTCGAGCCCTGTGTGTGTGTGTGTGTGTGTATATATATTTATTTATGTATTTTGTATTGCATTTGTATATGGAATATTAATATATTCCACATTCGCTGTGTATGTGTGTATGGGGCTGCTTGTGGTATTGTGTGTGTGGATGATATGTGTTTGGTGGTGTGTGTATTTGTGGGGTGCTCGTTGGGTTTTGTACATATAGGTGTATTGTCAGGGGTGTGTTTGTGGGGACTTTGTGTGTGGGCTTTTTGTAATATTTGTATGAGGAAGAGGCTTCTTCTGCTGCTCTTTATATGTATGTAAGTGTGCATATATATATAATTTCTCATTCATTGTTTGTCCTCTATTGAAATTAATATATAACTGAGCTGCTGGCTAACTCACCTTTTCTAAAGCAGGTATATTAGAAATCTTGACTTTTTTTTTTTTTAAATTCTTTATTTTACTTGTGCATGGAGAGACAGGTTACATTTTTCTTGCGATGCCACAACAGCATTAGCAAGTCGATTAGGAACATTAGATTTAGCATGGCATGCGATATGACAGCACATTTTTATATTAAAGATACGATTTTAAGCTATTGGTTCTGGTAATACAAGCATGGTCATACGTGAGGTAATTATAAGCATTTGCGTCAGTATACAGCAATGTCGCTTTGGATCCTTAGAAAAAAATAAATAAAAGAGAGCTTAAGCATGTCAGGCTACACTAGACAAAGCAGCACTATTGGGCTTAATTGTGCACAGGTGAGAGGTTTGCATTTTATGTACCAGCAACGTGCCTGGCCTGTGATAGTTCAGGTTAGGTATAGCTTTGAAGCTCATGTTATGTGTGTTTAGTCTCTTTGCTGGGTTTGCATAGGGAATATACAGTCCAGGTAGCGTGATGTATGGCATGGGAGACTCAGTGCCAGGCGACATTAATGTGAGACAAACGATGCAGAAAGAATGAAAGAGCTTGTTTCATGCCTTTAGTGGTAACCGCTTGAGGTGTAGAGAGGACTTCTACGCTTGTGTCCCGATCTGCTGGGCCTTCAGTGTGGTGGGGATGCGTTCAGCATAATATGACCAGCATGGAACGTGGTGAGAGGGGTGAGTGTGCCCTTCGATTATAGTCCCTTGCAGCTACCCAATCCTCTCCAGGCGGTAGCTTAGAACACAGGGGTGTCCGATACAGTGGCAGGGTTTTCGGCGTTGAGTGGTGCAAGGTCGGGTAGCTGGTACCGGCTGTATGTCACTGCTGGGTTCAGGGTTCCCGGATGTTTGCAGGTCGGGTGTAAGGGAACGCCTCTGCCTTTCCGCCGTCCGTGCTTCCCTAACTGGTCCAAATGGGGGGAACGAGGCCCCTACCGCGTGGCTTCAGAGGTCCGAGTGGAAACCGCAGGGCAGGATAGCAAAGCGGGTAGGCCTCAGATGTGGCTGTGCCAATGTGCCTTTTCCAATGTCCGATCGCTTGTGGTTCAATTGGCCTCAGCACCAGCGCCTCTTTGCCCGCAGGACCGCTTCTGCCAGACTGCAGATAGGTTGTTTTGAGCTTTTTACAGTCTTTAAAGACGGTTTTCTGCAGGAGCTCGCCTTGTGTGCGACCTCTCGGCACTTTTGCAAAAATGGTTGTGTGTAAATCATTTTAATGGGATTTTATAATGGATGTGGCAATAGGCCCTGCAGCAAAGATGATGAAATCCACATATCCGTTGTCATCCAGGAAAATCCCTTATCAGTCAGAGTATAGAGAAATTCTGAGCAGGTGCTTTATTTTAATATCTGACTAAATAGCTGATTAAATATGTTTGTATTTCTTCTATCTTTCAGTTGACTGTTTTCGTCCCTGAACAAGTTCCTTATGATAAATTGGGTCCTATTGGGTCATTTGCTGAGTACATGGTGAAGAATCACCACACTGTAATGTATTATGGGTAAGTTAGAGAGCTTACTATATATGGGAGAAGATTTGGATAATTAAATCTTCCCCAGTAAAAATAACACTACATATATATCAGATTTTGCAGACTCCAATCTTTACTTACTTGCACTCTCAGCAGCATAAGCGATACATTTTCTGATCTCTCAAACTGGCCAGTAATTTCAAGTAATGCCTGCTCCTAACACGCAGCACAGTCACTGGCCGACCAGGGGTATCATTGCAGTCTGGGTTCCTAAAAGATCACTTTAACTACATATTCCAGTATTCACAGAGAATCTCTTCATCTTCATTGGTGACATATTGCAGCTCTGGAAACTGCATCACTAGAAATATCTTACTCATATTTCTGTTTGAGATTCGTCATTCACGTAAAAAAATTCTTTTTGAATGGGCCTTTTTTTATCCTGTGCAAGTGCACATTCATTTGTTTCAGGAATAGGAAGCCCCTAGCAGGTTAGTCCTTAATGATGTACACTATCCTTTAGGAAACCTATGGGAGCGATGTAAGGAGTATGGAAAACACACAAGTCTGCTTTCCCAGCTGTCCTCTGGAAAGATTGGAGGTTGTTTAAATTTTTCCATATATTCATATATGCATTCCATATATTTTTAAAGTATATTAAGTCAAGAATGAAATTATCTTTTTAACACACTATACTATGCTAAAATGTTTGTCTAGATGGAAAAGCTCTGTTTAGTTACACATATAAGAACTGATTCATCTGTATTTACTAATTTTAATAATCTATTGTTACAGGTTTTGGTGGGCATGGACGATACATGTTATTGAGGCTCTGTATAGCATGCGACTCTGCAGGTTTGTACATTTCATGTGGATACGTGCCACTGTAGAATACGAACACTGGCTTTGAACATGTACTAAGTGATAGAGTATGGTGAAATTAATTTAGGCAACATTCCAGTCATTGTAACAACTACATCTCAATGCAAATTGTTGTAATCGAAAATTCTGCAATCCATTTCTTTTTCCAACTTGGATATTGTTTTTTTTTGCAACTCTGTTTTAAAGGAACAATATAGGGTCAAATATACAAACGTGTATTCCTGACGCTATAGTGTTCAAAACACTATTTAGGTCGTTGTCCACCCCTAGGATAAAAACTCACCTTTATTCCAGCACCGGGCTGGCCACGCTTCATCTCCTTTGCTGAGATCATCAGAATTGACTATCTCAGCCAATCCAAGCTTTCCAATAGGAAGGCTTTGGATTGACTGAGAATGTCAATTCTGATGATTTTAGCAAAGGAGACGGGGCAGGCGGTGGAGCCAAACACTGCACTGGCCAATCAGCATCTCTTCATAGAGATGCATTGAATCAATGCATACCTATGGGGAAAGTTCAGCATCTCCATGCAGAAGCATTTCTTGTGGCATTCTGAGTGACTGCTACTGGAGGTATCCCTAGGGAGCAATGTAAACACTGCCTTTTCTCTGAAAAGGCAATATTTAAATGAAAATGCCTGCAGGAAAATAAAGTGCCCCTTTTGCTGAATAAAAGGGTACATTATTACACCTGCATCAAAACAACATTAAGTTAGGGGGGAAATATTTAGGCTCTGTTCCTGATATTTTGTAAGTATATTAATAAAAATATATATTTTGTAAATTTGAGTAGTCATATCCATTGATGCAGGTGCAAAATAAGAGTATAGCCATTTTATGCCTTCTTTACGGGAACACTGCAAGCCCTGGAACAACCAGCCCAACATAGTAATTATTGTGCCAGGAGTGCAAAGGTGCCCTCTAATAGTAAGTAGTTAAACAATTTAAGAATGGTTTGACAACTTACCAACAGCTGGGCAGCTGGTTTATTTAGATTTAACTCCATGTTTAAAACAAAGTGTCACGGCTTTATTATATTGTAATTATATAAATATACTGAACAATTTTCTAATTTGCATTCATGACACTCTTAAGTAATGTAAGCTTCTTAAATTCTACTTACATTTATTAAACACAGATAATTACATGCACAGTCTGTAATATGCACACAAAGTCTCAGGTCCATTTAGAATGCACTTTGACACCCATTAACGCAGAGAAAATATCTGTGTTCGTAAACATTATTGTTAATGATTGAACTTGTGCCACTTTTTTTTCTTTCAATAAATCAATAATCTGTGCATTTTAATGTAAATGTGCTGTAAAAGAACGCTCCGAAGAACCATAACCACTAAGGCACTGATGCTCTCGTCCAGTGAGCTAGCCCTGCACCTCCTAAACAGGACCTTCCAACTCTCGTAGTGGAGGCAGAAAATGGTGCTCGGGAGGCCCGAGGGAAGGGGGGAGGGGGGAGTGCTGTACGCTTGGAGTGCTCTTCATCCTGAAGGTACCATAGATTCCTTAAGTGATTTACAGACTTTTTTTCTGCATGTTTTTTTTTTAGTTTAGTAACGTTAGTGGAACTGATGCTGTCAGTCTTTTTATGTAAGTAAGCAAATGCAGTTATTTTGGAGGTGATTCATACACAGCAATTTGGATGCAAACTTCCAGTGTGGCAGTCCCCTTAGAAGCCAGTTGAATGATTTCAGACTTTGACTTAGAAAGTACCACCATTGTATGTTTTAAATTCCAGTGCTCTGAAGCCAAATTGTAGGCCTGTAGATCTGCCGTGTCAGATGATGCTCCTGTATTGTAGCATTTGACCTGTGTAACAAAAGTGTTAGATCCAGTAGTACATGTGTAATTTGGTGGTCAGCAGAGTTAGCCCAAATCCCTCAATTCACAAGAAATGGTACAATGTGTATTTTCTTCATAAATGTTTTTACCTGTTTTTACCTATTATGTGGTATAAAGCAATATAGTGTTGCAGAACTATTTTATATTATACTCCTTTATCTATGATGTTGTGATTTTTGTCTGCTCTTTCTCTGCTCAACTCCATTATTTAAAGGAAACCTATAGTGTTAGGAATACAAAACTGAATTTGAGCACCTCTTCCACCGACGTCAGCCAATGGGGGAACCTAGTGCACATGCTTTCCTACGGGAATAATGGCACAAATAGATATAGACACACAGATTGATACACATACAGATCTATACACAGATACACATACAGACATTAAGATAGGTACACAGACCACACGTAGAGACATAAAGATAGGTACACAGATTACACATACAGACATTAAGATAGGTACACAGACCACACATAGAGACATAAAGATAGGTACACAGATTACACATACAGGCATAAAGATAGGTACACAGACCACAAATAGAGACATAAAGATAGGTACACAGACCACACATAGAGACATAAAGATAGGTACACAGACCACACATAGAGACATAAAGATAGGTACACAGATTACACATACAGGCATAAAGATAGGTACACAGATTACACATACAGGCATAAAGATAGGTACACAGATTACACATAAAGATAGGTACACAGACCACACATACATAAAGATAGGTACACAGATTACACATACAGGCATAAAGATAGGTACACAGACACATACAGGCATAAAGATAGGTACACAGATTACACATACAGGCATAAAGATAGGTACACAGACCACACATTAAAGATAGGTACACATATAGGTACACAGATTACACATACAGGCATAAAGATAGGTACACAGATTACACATACAGGCATAAAGATAGGTACACAGATTACACATATAGGCATAAAGATAGGTACACAGAATACACATACAGGCATAAAGATAGGTACACAGACCACACATACAGGCATAAAGATAGGTACACAGACCACACATACAGGCATAAAGATAGGTACACAGATTACACATACAGCATAAAGATAGGTACACAGACCACACATACAGACATAAAGATAGGTACACAGACCACACATACAGACATAAAGATAGGTACACAGATTACACATACAGGCATAAAGATAGGTACACAGATTACACATACAGGCATAAAGATAGGTACACAGACCACACATACAGACATAAAGATAGGTACACAGATTACACATACAGGCATAAAGATAGGTACACAGACCACACATACAGACATAAAGATAGGTATACAGACATACAGATAGGTACACAGATTACACATACAGGCATAAAGATAGGTACACAGACCACACATACAGACATAAAGATAGGTACACAGATTACACATACAGGCATAAAGATAGGTACACAGATTACACATACAGGCATAAAGATAGGTACACAGATTACACATACAGGCATAAAGATAGGTACACAGACCACACATACAGGCATAAAGATAGGTACACAGATTACACATACAGGCATAAAGATAGGTACACAGATTACACATACAGGCATAAAGATAGGTACACAGATTACACATACAGGCATAAAGATAGGTACACAGATTACACATACAGGCATAAAGATAGGTACACAGACCACACATACAGACATAAAGATAGATACACAGATTACACATACAGGCATAAAGATAGGTACACAGACCACACATACAGACATAAAGATAGGTACACAGATTACACATACAGGCATAAAGATAGGTACACAGACATAAAGATAGGTACACAGATTACACATACAGGCATAAAGATAGGTACACAGACATAAAGATAGGTACACAGATTACACATACAGGCATAAAGATAGGTACACAGACCACACATACAGGCATAAAGATAGGTACACAGACCACACATACAGGCATAAAGATAGGTACACAGACCACACATACAGGCATAAAGATAGGTACACAGATTACACATACATGCATAAAGATAGGTACACAGACCACACATACAGACATAAAGATAGGTACACAGACCACACATAGAGACATAAAGATAGGTACACAGATTACACATACAGGCATAAAGATAGGTACACAGATTACACATACAGGCATAAAGATAGGTACACAGATTACACATACAGGCATAAAGATAGGTACACAGATTACACATACAGGCATAAAGATAGGTACACAGATTACACATACAGGCATAAAGATAGGTACACAGATTACACATATAGGCATAAAGATAGGTACACAGAATACACATACAGGCATAAAGATAGGTACACAGACCACACATACAGGCATAAAGATAGGTACACAGATTACACATACAGGCATAAAGATAGGTACACAGACCACACATACAGACATAAAGATAGGTACACAGATTACACATACAGGCATAAAGATAGGTACACAGACTACACATACAGACATAAAGATAGGTACACAGACCACACATGCAGGCATAAAGATAGGTACACAGACCACACATACAGACATAAAGATAGGTACACAGATTACACATACAGGCATAAAGATAGGTACACAGACCACAAATAGAGACATAAAGATAGGTACACAGATTACACATACAGGCATAAAGATAGGTACACAGATTACACATACAGGCATAAAGATAGGTACACAGATTACACATACAGGCATAAAGATAGGTACACAGACCACACATACAGACATAAAGATAGATACACAGATTACACATACAGGCATAAAGATAGGTACACAGACCACACATACAGACATAAAGATAGGTACACAGACCACACATGCAGGCATAAAGATAGGTACACAGACCACACATACAGACAAAGATAGGTACACAGATTACACATACAGGCATAAAGATAGGTACACAGACCACAAATAGAGACATAAAGATAGGTACACAGATTACACATACAGGCATAAAGATAGGTACACAGACCACACATACAGGCATAAAGATAGGTACACAGATTACACATACAGGCATAAAGATAGGTACACAGATTACACATACAGGCATAAAGATAGGTACACAGATTACACATACAGGCATAAAGATAGGTACACAGATTACACATACAGGCATAAAGATAGGTACACAGATTACACATACAGGCATAAAGATAGGTACACAGATTACACATATAGGCATAAAGATAGGTACACAGAATACACATACAGGCATAAAGATAGGTACACAGACCACACATACAGGCATAAAGATAGGTACACAGATTACACATACAGGCATAAAGATAGGTACACAGACCACACATACAGGCATAAAGATAGGTACACAGAATACACATACAGGCATAAAGATAGGTACACAGACCACACATACAGGCATAAAGATAGGTACACAGATTACACATACAGGCATAAAGATAGGTACACAGACCACACATACAGACATAAAGTTAGGTACACAGATTACACATACAGACATAAAGTTAGGTACACAGATTACACATACAGGCATAAAGATAGGTACACAGATTACACATACAGGCATAAAGATAGGTACACAGACCACACATACAGGCATAAAGATAGGTACACAGACCACACATACAGACATGCATGCAAAATGTACACACTTTTTTTAAAGCACAGGTTTTATTTAATGTAACCATTATGCAACGTAATATAGACAAAAAAAATTTGTGGAAATATATAATAATTCATAGTAATCCTCTTTTTTTACATATTTACTATTTTATTTTATTAAATACTAAAGCCACACTTCCAGCGCTTGGGATTAATGGAACAAGTTTTATAAACTGTTCATATTCAAGTGGTTCAATTTCAAGTTTTAATGCTGCTTGTCCCATAAGAAAGGAAGGAAGTATATTTTACATTTATTCTTATTAGTTTTAAATAATTTATTTAATTAAAATGCACCCAAATCATACAAAATGGCTAAAAGAAGCTGTTTAAATAGAAGAGCTGCAGAAGAGCACACAGTCAGGAATTGATAATCAAGGTAAAAATGTTCTCACATGTTTGTGATTACCACTATTATTAAGAGATTGAAACAGACTGCAATGTTCATTGTAAAATATTTGTGGAATTTATCTGGGAGGAAAAAGATTTTGACCTTACTAACAAATAACATGGCATTTTTTTGTTGTAATATGCTACTAAAACAATAACACATTTTACTATAATTTGTTTGCGTTTCACTAATCAATATTTGCACCGAGCTTTCAGGATATATTTGATTGCCTGCAAAAGAAGAGTTAATATACAGCTCAGTTGCTAGTCTCCTAACCATTTCAGTAACAATAATAGAACTGGCATTGTACACATATTAAGCAACCCTCCCCCCCTGTTTCCTACCTGCAGAAGGGTAACTTCCCTGTGTCCAATTGGCTGACTGAGGCTGTTGGAAGGCAGAGGTTCTCCGACACTGCTACTCTTTGACTCCCTCCCGTGCTGCTCTGTGTCAGCTGAGACAAAGTGATGGACTGTTGCTTCCAGTATTACGGGGGTCACGCTCTTAAAGGGCCGCAGTGCTGACCGGTTCCCTACAAACACTTTTGCCATTGGTTGGCCCCCCTGAGCGTGTGGGATCTATCACTGGCCACACCATTCCTTTAGAATTCCCTACCTCATTCTATTAGATGCTGTCTTAGCCTCCAGTCCTTTAAGATGTCACTAAAAACACACCTATTTAGCAAAGCCTACCATCTTCCTGGTGACTCTTCTCATTACAACTGCCCTCCACATGTTTGTTTTCTTGGTCCAGCTTACACCTATCTTCTTCCACTCTCCAGTTCTTCCATACACCAATTTAATTACCTTAACTCGGCACAGCACAGGCATTTTATCCATCAAGCTGTCCTACTGTCATGATCTCTTAACTTATTCCATTGCGCCCACGTTGTGCATGATCCAAAGCAGACTCCTCTTCCAACGAGTCCAGCATGTCCCATGCCGGAAGCTGGAGTCAAGCCCCCTTTTATGACGGGGATCACACATCATGACACCATTGACGTGGTCCCGCGTCATCAATACCGTCCCAGAACGTTTTGGGGGCATAGCCTTAAAGCAAAAGAGGCCCCCTTATAAAAGGGATGCCTTTTGCCTTGTTCCTTGCCTTATTGTGGTTCCTTGTGTTCCCCTTAGTGCTCTTTGATTCTCCTTGCGTATTTACTGTTAGGCAACATTCTGTTTCTGTGTACCGACCCGGCTTGGCTTTTGACGTTCCTGTTTTCTGGTTCCCTGACTCGGCTTGTATTTTAACCTCCTGATTTCTGGTATCCTGACCTGGCTATTCTTGTATCGTTCTCCTGATCTCTGGTATTTTGATTTTTGGCAATCTTCTGACTACTCTTTTCTACCTACGTTAAATCTGACCATTCTAAGGTTCAGTAATATGTGCTTGGGTTTACATACTCTGACGTGCTGCTCTTAGTCTTCGTTCCTTTAACCGTTCTTCACAGATTGTAAGTTCATTAGAGCAGGGGAATTTGTCCCCAATTGTCTAGCCATTTTTATTCCGTCTGTAAATTTCTAGTTTTTAAATATGCCCACTGTGTAATTATAAAGCGGTGCGGAAAATGTTAATGCTAATAAGATACTACTAATAATAGTATACTGAAAGCAAAGTTACAAAATCAGGCCAATAAAGTTGGCAAGAATTCTCAGCATAACTGTAGTCACAGGGTGCCTGTATTACTCTAAATTTAACAATTTGGTTTTCCAATCATGACCATTCACTGTTTAGTGAATATATGCCCTTGTCTTTTGTATTTTCTAGTTTAAACTTCCCCAAGTGGATTTAATTCTTAATTGCCTCTGCTTTGTTTCCCGTTAAAAAATCAAGAAAACCTTAAAGGATCTCTGTAAAGCATAGTCCATTATGTTGATGTTAAACTTGGCTTTGTGAATTATGAATTAAAACAGACTGATCACTGCCTGAACTGCCGTAGTGGATGACTATTTTAATTCCGTTTTTCATTTCCATGGAAGAACAATTATGTGTGTTTGTTGTGAAATCCATGGAAACACACGAAAACAGCGTTCTGTGGAACAGTTGATCTGTATTATGGAAGCTGAAGGCTTTCGATGTCCTAGTTATGTAATACACTCTTGCAGTACACATTGAGTCTGACAGAGTATCAACTATTTGATTATCTCTATTTGATCGGTTGAATTGCCATGTCACTGAAATTATTAAAGGGAAGTGTGGCTGTATGCCAGGGGAGTCTGTTTAATACATGTAAAGTGATTGTTACCATAGTAAAGCATTATTAAAAATTATTATAGCTAAGTGACATAATTTGTTTTCTTAAAGCAGCACTGTCACGTTTTATTTTTTTTATATATATATATATTTTCATTTTTTAAAATTTCATTATGCTATTTGTATATTAATAATTATACTCCCCATATCCCCATGCCAATTGCCACCATGTATTGTTTCCTTTCCACCTAGCTCTAGATCTAAATATCCTAGCGCAGCCCTTCTCTGGAATTCTTTTGACCTTTGGATTGTTGGTAAATTAACTTGGCATCTGAAATAAAATCTTAAGTTCAGTCCATTGACAAAGATCACACTTCTCATAAGAAACAGTGGCTCCTACTTTTACTTACTTAAACTAAGAGAATTTAAATAAATAAGTAAAATAGAGGAACAAACAAGTCAAAATGAATTAAAAGTAAACATTTGCAGTGACTCTTTAACTTGCACTATAACTCTGTGTAGCTTCCATGTTTTGCTATGGATTTATTGTTGTGGGTTGTAGATTAGCATACATATATTGACTCTCATGTTGAGTGACTTAATTCATCAGCAAATGTACCAGAATCCAAGCATCACATGGGAACCATAAAAACATACATAAGCATTACCAAAGATCTGTATTATTAATATTACTGGTGTGTGTGTGTGTGTGTGTGTATATGTATGTATGTATGTATATATATATATATATATATATATATGTATGTATGTAGCACTTTACAATTTGATCAGAGGGAGAGATTTAACAATAACTGAGACAATTACAAAAACTTACAGGAACAATAGGTTGAAGAGGTCCCTGCTCAAACGAGCTTACAATCTATAGGAGGTGGGGCATAAAACACAACAGGACAGGAGGTAGCAATCAAACAAGGTGGAGTGAAGCAGAGCTGGAGGAGAGAATAGGGTACTGGCCTTTAGGAGAGAGAAAGGGACAGGTATGTGAGGTAGAGGTCATAAGCTTTCCTAAAAAGATGGGTTTTGAGGCACTTTTTAAATGATTGAAGACTAGGGGAGAGCTTGATGGTCGTAGGCAGGCTATTCCAAAGGAAAGGTGCCACCCGCAAGAAGTCCTGCGAGCGTGAGTTGGTTGTACGTGTACGAGCAGCGGACAGGAGAAGGTCAAGGGCAGAGCGAAGAGACCGAGAAGGGGCATACCTGCGGATCAGGGAAGCGGTACAGGAGGGGCTAAAATTGGCTAGTGCTTTATAGGTGTGGATTAGTACCTTGAATTGACTCCTATAGGATACAGGAAGCCAATGTAAGGACTGAGAGGGGAGAGGTGTGAGAGGAGCGACATGAGAGGAAAATCAGTCTAGCTGCAGCATTTATTATAGACTGTAGTGGGGCAATACGACTTGTGGGAAGACCTATTAGGAGAGAGTTAAAATAATCCATGCAAGAGATTACTAGTGCATGGACAAGCTCCTTAGTAGCATCTTGTGTAAGAAAGGGGCGGATGCGGGCTATGTTTTTAAGGTGGACTCTACAGGATTTGGTAACAGACTTGATGTGAGGCCAGGTCCGGGAAGGAGACACATATCTGAGTGTCATCAGAGTACAGGTGGTATTGGAATCCAAATGAGGTAATAGGTTTGCCAAGAGAGGCAGTATAAAGAGAAAATAGAAGGGGACCAAGGACAGTGCCTTGGGGGACTCCAACAGAGACAGGAGGAAGGGAGGAGGTATCATTAGAAAAGGAGACACTGAATGAGCATTGGGAGAGATGGGAGGAAAATCATGAGAGGACAGTGTCACAGAGACCGAATGATTGAAGAGTTTGGAGAAGGAGAACATAGTCAACAGTGTCAAAGGCAGCAGAGAGGTCAAGAAGAATTATTATAGAGCAGGGGTGGGCAACCTACGGCACTAGTGCCATGCACGGCACTCAAGGTTGCTAGAGCCAAACAGGCTCTGGCCTATCAGGAGTCCCAGTGAAACTTCAGATATTTGCTAATACGAAGAGGTGGTGAAGGACAATCCTAAATTTATCCATTGCAGCACGTAGAGGAAGTGATCACAGATCACTTCCTCCCAGCACTTGTGAATGGGTATCCACGCTGGAGTAGAGCCTCCTTGCAGCTGCTTTTTGCAGCTCCTGTCCTTGACCTGTACCTGGCCAGCCTGGACCCCACTGGAACCCAGGGAAGCCACCCACACTGCTAGATATACACAGAAATGCAGAATAATCCTCCCTCTTTCAAATAATACGAACAGCCCACACACAAACATACACACAATTCACACAAACGCAACACCACTAACAATCCACATACATGCACACAACCCCACATGCAATACCCCAAACAGCCCCAAAAATACACACAACGTGAAATTTCCATCCACACACAATTCCACAAGCAGCCCTCATACACAGCCCACATTCATATGTATCATACACAATACCATAAACTACTAATGAACATATACAATATAATAGCTCATATACGCACAAATACAATGATACAAAGCAAAGCAATTACAGTAAAAATAACACAAGCAGAATACGGCAGCATGCACACCTCAATTTAAAACAATAGGATCGGCACGCTACGGGACTTCACAATCCTTTATCGGCACAGTGCTGCTAAAAGGTTGCCTACCCCTGTTATAGAGTAATGTCCTTTGGATTTAGCTGCGTAGTTGGTGACTTTAATAAGAGCAGTCTCAGTAGAGAGGAGGGGGCGGAAGCCAGACTGAAGAGAGTCAGGGAGAGAGTTGGAACTAAGGAAGTAAGTCAGGGTGGTAAAGACAAGTCTTTACAGAAGCTTTGAGGAAAAAGGCAGCAGGGATATGGGACGATAGCTAGAGGGGGAGGACGGATCAATAGATTTTTTTTTTTTCAGATGGGTACTACAGTAGCATGTTTAAGGGCAGCAGGGACAACTCCAGAAGAGAGAGAGCAGTTGAAGATGTGTGTTAAGGGAGGCACAAGACAAGAGTAGACACGTCGCAACAAAGCAAGCAATTGCTTGGGGCCCCAAGACAATGACCAGGGATGTATTATCCGCGAGGCAAACAAGGCACTTTCCAGGGGGCGGCAAAAAAAGCCGCCCCAAAATGCCCAGGGCAAATGTCTTGTTAGCCTTGCGGCTAACTAACAATCCGGTCGGTCGGGCGGCACTGGCGAGGGAGCACTTTCCCCTGAGCGCTCTGCTCAGCTTCCTCGCGCGCCGCAGACTGATGCCGGGAGCCGGAATATGAAGTCCTATTCCGGCTCCCGGCATCACTCTGCGGTGCGCGAGAGAGCTGAGCAGAGCGCTCAGGGGAAAGTGCTCCCTCGCCAGCGCTGCCCGACCGACCGCCCAGTAGCCCCACTAGACCCCAGGGAGAGGGAGAACCCCCACCCCCAGCATTCCCAAAGGTAAGGAGGGGTAAAAAAAAAAAAAAAAGTGAGTGTGTTAATGTGAGTGAGTGTGTGTCTGTTAGTGTTTGTCTGTCTGTTAGTGAGTATGTGTCTGTTAGTGTGTGTCTGTCTGTTAGTGAGTGTTTGTTTGTCTGTTAGTGTGTGTGTGTTTTAAGTTGGATTTAGTTATTGTGCACTTTTTTAATGTATATTTGATTTTATGGTACAGTGGTGTTTTTTGCAAATGTTCAATTGTTGAAAATGTTCAATTGTTGAAAATGTTCACATTTAATGCACAGTATATGCAACAGCAGTATTTGCACTGTAAACATGTTTTATTTATGCACAGTATATGCAACAGCAGTATTTGCACTGTAAACATTTTTTATTTATATAAAGTGTAGGTGATCTTAAACTGTATGGCTATGCTATGGTTCCTGTAGGCTTTGCGTGCGTGCAGGGAGGGGGAGGGGGAGGTTGGGGGGGCCTCCATGTCCATTTTGCTTGGGGCCCCCAAATTCCTTCAAATGGCCCTGGATGGGACAGGATCAAGTGGGCAAGTGGTGGGTCGAGAGGAAAGGAGAAACGCAGCCACCTCTTTTTCAGTAGCCTGGGAGAAAGTCTGAAGGGTAGGAAAGGCATGACCTAGGTGTGGTAGAGAAAAAGAGGGGCAAGGTGGGGAGAATTCTTTCCTTAGCTGTTCAATCTTGTCTGTAAAGTAGCATGCCAAGCTATCGGGCGTAAGGTTAGTTTAGGGGGGGCAAAGAAGGGAGTTATAGGTATTAAAAAGACGCCTGGGATTGCGGGAGCATGAGCCGATGAGGGGGGGAAAGTATGATGACTGTTTGGTAAGGGCAATGGCTGTGCTGTATGAACGCAACATGAATTTGTAGTGGAGGAAGTCAGACTGGGTGTGTGACTTCTTCCAGCAGCTTTCAGCAGAACGGCAACATCTCTGCAGGTAGCGTGTTAATTTAGTGTGCCACGGTTGGGGGCGTGTTATCCACAAGGTGCATTTTGGAGTGGGGCTGTAGTGTCCAGGGCAGAGGTGAGGGTAGTGTTATATGAGAAGATAGCCAGTGAGGAACAGGAGAAAGAAGGGATGGATAGAAGTTGGGAATCAATATTAGCTGATAGCTCCTGGAGGTCAATATAATTCAGATTTCTTCTTAGTTGAAGGGGGTAGATTTCATCTACCCAAGGGCTTGGGTAGATGAAAGTAAAACGTAGCTTTTATTTAATTCAGAAAAATATTGAGGTATTAGCTCCCACAAGGAGTTTTCATCAGGACAAAACTGATCCTGATGTCCTGATGGGACCTGATACCTCGATATCCTTGTGGGAGCTGATACCTCGATATTTTTATGGATTAAATAAAAGCTAAATTTTACTTTCATCTACCCAAGTCCTTGGAGTGCGGTTGATTCCTATGTTTTTATAGTCCTATGCAAAACCAGCACTGGGCATTATCTCTATCTCCAGGAGTGCAAGCCATGTATATATATCTATATATATATCCTGTTAAAATGCTATATATTCAGAATACATTCGGCACATAGGACACAGGCAGTTTTTACGTCAAATTTGGAGTTAAAAAAAAAAAGCTCTCTATATTCCAAAAAAAAAAAAAAAAAAAGAATTCTTGGTGCCATGGCCAGAATTCAGAATAAAAGGAACATGCTCGTCCATTGCGTGAGTCAATTGTTTGGCTAAACTTCTGCCTAATTGCAGTTCATTTGAGAATGAATGCAGACGTTTGGTGTAGACCAGTTATTGGCTTTTGGGACAGGCCTATGACAAATATGTGCATATTCTTTGTTAGCAATATATACAATTTTACAAGAATAAATATAAGAATATTATTGGAAATAATACAGAAGCTAGTGTAGTATATAAATGTTCTGCTTTAAAAGGTAATAGTTAATCCTATTTCTATGACTAGGACACTAGTTTCCATGCTGGGCCTTTCACCTCCGCTGGAATATGACCTATAATTGTTAATGATCATGTTCGGAACTTCAACAAACACATTCTGACTTTCTTTCTGTTTATTTCTTTTTCCAGTTCTAAAGGGATTACAGACTCTGGAGTCAAACTTAAATGGCTCATACAGACTTTCCTGTTTGGAATAGCATCTCTCTCACTCCTAATCGCATACAAGCCGAGTCCTGCTAAGAAACGAAGATAGAAAGTGAACATTGTGTAGGAAAAAAAGAGGCCCGCTAACCGCAGTGACCTTATTTTTCTGGATTATAGAATAATTACCTCATTTAAAATAAGAAGGGTTTGCGTCATAGTATATAGCAGTTTCCTTACCTGTTTTTTATATGTGAAATTACTTGAATCTAATTCCTGTAAACTAAATACAGTCCATGATCACAGTTCTCTTTACCAAATGATAGACCACTTTTGAAACTCTCTTGCCTTTTAAACTTCTTATGTGTTGGCTAAAACTTCGGTAGTGATCAACTGTACTGACTAGGAGTTTATTAACAGCAGTTTGCCTATCTCTCTGTAAAGTAATGTACTGACTACTCTGTGATTTAACGAACACCTGGTTACAGCTTGTTTCATCCCAAGGAGCATAAAAATAGGACAACTGGAAGATGGCAAATTCAACAACTGAGCAGAACTCAACAGCATTTTATATCTCTTTAAAGAACTGTATAGTGAGCTATAATATTCATATTAAATGGGCATGTGTTTAATGGGCGTGTACGGTTAAGGAGTGACGGTGGGTTGATCTATTGGTAACAAAGACTGAGTTGGTTAATAAATTTCAGAATTCTTAAATATGTTGTGCTTTTTACTGAAGACTTTAGGATTCCGTACTAATAGTGGAGTGCGACATTCTCCCTTGGAGCTGTTTTCGAAGTATGTATCCCAAGGGCTGTCTTATCAGGGACATAGAGTGCTCGATAGCTGGAAAGATTTATGTAATGCGAATTTAATTGCGGATATAGCGATATGTTTTTTGCAAAATAGAAATTTCGAAAAAAAAATTTCATGGCTTGGTAAGGTAAATGTTGTTATGCTGCAAAATAACCTTGTTTTGTCCACTTAAAGGGTCACTCCAGACCCCTAAACAACTTTTATCTTGATAAAAACCTTTTTTTTTAATTTTGCAAAAAGTGCAGATTTCAATAGAAATTTACACTTTTATAAATTAACCTGGTTACACCCCCTTGGCTTTCAAGCAGATGACAGATCATGTTACTTCCTGGTTTTGTTAGCTCAAGGCAGCTGACCTAAAGAGGCAGCAATTGCTAATATCACCTGACTGACAAATACTTTTCATTGAGCTGCATTGGGGAGTCTATGTTTGGACAGCTACATAAACTCTGGGCTGGGTTAGAAGGGGAGAGCTTGCAAAGGCAGCAGGCAAGAGATTTCAGGTTTTGCAAGCTTATTTTAGATATATCGCCAATGTAAAAATACATAATTCAATGCATGCAAGTTTTCATTTGGGGTATGTGTACTAAACAGGGATTTTTATTTATTTTGTATTTTAAAGTGGTTAAACTTGCTGATGGATAGTGGCCTCTAAATTCACTGCTGGACAGGTAACTGCTAGCAAGATTCTATCAGATTTAAATACGAAGTCCTTGTACAGTTTTCAAATGTAAGGAGACAACCACGTCATTGTAGACTTTGGTGTTCAAAAGAGTTGCCCCCTTTCCACAAATTATTTTTGACTTAGTAACTGACCCTCTACTGCAAGCATTGTAATGTTATTTTATAGCTTTCCAGTGGGCTCTGTCACAGCAAAAATATCACTGTTTGCAGGAGAGGATCAGCTGTTTGTAAATGATCCTGTGTTTTACATCCTACCACATGTATTTCATCTACTTACAGCCTTTGGCGATGTTGCAGGTTTTGCACTTGGCTGGAGGAAATCCACGGCTTTGTACATAAAGGCGCACTCCAAGTACAAAACAACTGTAGCTTAATGAAGCAGTTTTGGTGTATATATCATGCCCCTACAATCCCACTGCTCAATTATCTGCTATTTAGGAATTAAATCACATGTATTTCTGTTTATGCAGTCCTAGCCACATCTCTCCCCTGCCTGTGACTGACACAGCCAACAATGATTTAATTTTCAATCGGATTTTAGGGCAAAGTTTTTTTACTTTAGACATTTTTACCTCCTGCTCTGTTAATTGGCACATAATTGGACAGTGACACTGCAGGAGCATGATCTGTACACCAAAACCAAATAATGTAAACTTGTTTGAGGAGGGTCCTCAGCTCTGTACCAGCTATTGTATAGTGCTGCGAAATTTGTTGGCACATAAATAATAATAATTAGGCTAGAGTTGTTTTGATGTGTGAAGTGTCCCTTTAACCCCTTAAGGACACATGACATGTCTGATATGTCACGATTCCCTTTTATTCCAGAAGTTTGGTCCTTAAGGGGTTAAGGGAATGCTCAACCTCCTATTATTTGTAGTATAATATCCCTCAAATAAAAAGAACACTAAAATATTTGTGGATATTCTTGCCTAAATGCCTTTCCCAAAAAATGTAGTCCCTTCGAGTCGGACTGGCTATAGGGCATACTGGCTGGCCCCTGCAAGGCTACCCAAATGCTGGCCATGGCCGGTGGGGAAATCAAAGATCTTCATCACCAACAAGCCCACGATAATTGGAAGAGGGGAGAGATTGAGCTGCTTCCATATCAGAGAACTGCTGCGGGTTAACACAACAACACTGATACTTTCTCCAGTGCTGGCCAGAAGTAGCTGTCTATACCTGGGGTGGTGTACAACCTATCCCCTGGCCCTGGCCCAAGGCAACCACAGTGAGGGGTAAAAACGTGTGTTTAAAAAAAATTTAAAATATATTTTATTATACTTGCCCCTGTTCCACCTACACTACAGTCCATATCTGACAGTCCTTATTATCCCCACACACTACAGCCTCTAACCCCACATACATCATAGCGCTTAAGGCCACCACACACTACTGCTGATATCCCCCCACAGTACACTTCAGTTCTTATTCCTCCCTACACTACATTTCTCCTCCACACAGACACACTACACCACTAACAGCCCCATTCACAAACACACAACCCCATTAGAAGAATACCCCCTTACGCAACCCCTCAAAGAGCCTCTGCACATACATGTAACCCAAAAGTAAAATCCTCACACATATGCAAGCCCACAAGCAGGTCCACACACAGAATACATAGTGACATCATGATGTTAGTCATTCAGTCATTTTGGAGGAGCCAATATACCCAATGGTGGACGAGAAGGTAGGTTGCACTAAAGGGGAATCAAACTGAGATGTCCATTCTGATGCATAGAAAAGGAATCAAGGGAAAACAAAAACCCACAACATTCCATAAATTAAGCTCAATGTGTAAGTATTATATTCTGTTTTAATGTGTCAAACAACTGGTGAAATGATAACCACATTAACCTCAACAAGTAAGATTTATTTAAGAAAAGGCAGATTGTAATATCTTTTTACCAAATTCTGCTTCATCGGCAGGCACATTAACCCCTTAAGGACACATGACATGTCACGATTCCCTTTTATTCCAGAAGTTTGGTCCTTAAGGGGTTAAAGGGAAATTGTCACCACTTACTTGACCACCGGCCAGGTAAGTGGTGTGGTGTTGTGTTACACTTCCATGACACCTACACAATGGCGTTGTGCCTGTGTCTGCTGGTTGCTATGGGTGTAGAGCAGAGGGAGATCTGTTCTGCTGTCCTTGTCTCTCAATTATTAGACATTAAATGCCTGCAGAGGAATTGAGAGTCAGATGGGGGAATCTCCAATTCTAAATATTTGCTAGTACAATGTAAATATGGACTTCTTCCAAGGCTCAATCCTCTGAATATAGATGCATAGACAAGAAATGTGGGCTAGCACAGCTTATGAACATGTCCTTAAGGAAACCGTAAAAGGTTCTTTAGCAGAAAAGTTATGGTCAAGGCCAACAATTAGACCATCTTCAATATTTTCAGAAATTTTGTCCAATGGCTAAACAGAGCTTGCAAATCCATAGGAGAGTCCTAGTTAGGGGAGTAAAAGTTGACTGGTGGTCAGATTCTCAGATTCTAGAGCTTTCAGAAAACAAGCCGATACTCTAGTGATAGCTGAAACATGGACTCAAAGAGTGCTGAGGCTGAGTTCCTTTATAACCTATATTGACGAAAGTCCAATAATATTGAACTGCTGCAAGGTGTAAATCACTGAGTATAATATACCTAGTAATGTAAGGGAGAAGCTCCCAATCTCCAAACATTTAGGTTAAGAGCCTGAGGATTCTGGGCCTTGAGCCATAACTGGGATGTCCCAAGGAGGTTCCACTGCTAATCTCATCAATAATACGAACCATGGTCTTCTCAGACAGTAGAGAATAATTGTGATGGCCAGTCCCTTGTTCGGTACAAAAAAAATAAAAAAAAGTGTAGCATAATTTCAGTGCCCATGAGTCTTATAAGGCATCTGTGACTTTGGCATTTTAATGTAAACACTGCCTTTTCAGAGAAAAGCACTGTTTACATTGCCCCCTAGGGACACCTCCAGTGGCCACACCTCGCTCTGCATGGAGACGCTGAACTTTCCTCAGAGATGCATTGATTCAATGCATCGGTATGAAGATGTGCTGATTGGCCAAATTTTTTGTTTGGCCCCACCCCGCCTCCATGCTGATTTCAGCCAATCCAATGCTTTTCCTTGGCTGAAATCCTAAATTCTGATGCTGTCCGCAAGGAGGCTTTTCGAGGTCGGGGCTAGAGCTGGCGGACCTGCGTGGCGCTGGAAATAAGGTAAATTTTCTTACCTTTTAATGGTGGTTTTAACATTATAGGGTCAGGAATACATGTTTGTGTTCCTGACCCTACAGTGTTCCTTTAAAAGTCCACTAAAATGTCCCAGACCACTTTATCTCAAGGAAATGGTTTGGGTGCTGTGGTCCTTCAGTTTTAACCCTGCAATGTTTACATAGAAGAGTTGAATCTACCTCTACTGGCTGTGCTCCTGACAGCCATTAGATACACTTCTTTTGCACTTATTAAGAAAAACTCTATTTAATTTTATCATCCAGGGAATTTCCAAACAGCATACTGCATGGGTAGGCAGCCTGTTGTGGACTACATCTCCCATAATGCTCTTATACCGATAATGCTGGCAAAGCATCATGGGAGGTGTAGTCCAATACATCTGGAGTGCCAAAGGTTGCCTATGCCTGGCATACTGTATCACTCTTAAAGGTACATTACAGTGTTGGGAATACAAAGCTTAATTTCTAACATTGTAGGAACCCATTATAGGAGCCCCTACCCCCCCAGTTCCCCACACTGAAAAGGTTAAAAAACCCTTTAAACACTTACCCGATTCTGGCGTGTGGGGCAGGTTCCTCTACTGCCAGATGGAGGAACCTAATGCACATGCGAGTTTAGCGCTCTGTGACAGTTAAGCTATTCCCATAGGAAAGAACTGACAATGCTTTCCTATATGGATTTTCAATACGCTCTATGTCCTCATGCAAACCGTGAGGACGTCCAGCGTCGTTTCATGGAACAAACTTTGTGAAATTGCAGGAAGCGCCTCTAGTGGCTGTCTGGTAGATAGCTACTAGAGACAGTGTTAACCCTGCAATATACAAATTTTTTACATTGCTGGGTTAAAGGAAAAGAGACACTGCACCCAGACCACTTCAATCATATTACATGGTCTGGGTTCCTATAGTGTGCCTTTAAATCAGGGCTGCCCAAAATGTAGATCCCCAGATGTTGTAGAACTATAACTTTCATGATGCTTTGCATGCCTTTCGAATGACAAAGAATCATGGAAGCGTAGTTTTAAAACATCTGGGAATCTACCTTTTGGGCACCCTGCTTTAAAAAGTAATAAACACAGGTTGTTTTAAGAATGTCAGTGTTTCACAATTTTTGCCAATAAGCTTGTCTTTCTGTTACAGACAGTAACGTACTAAAAGGTAGAGAATATCAGACAAAGCAATTCAAATGTCAATCTGATGTTGAATAGGAGATGCATGATATTGGATCTACAAACTCCTGAGATCCAGACTTTCTAAGTTCTTGATACTGCTGGCACTGCTGCAGCTAAATGACAAGAGTTTGGTACGATTTGTTTCCATGTCTCCATATTTGTGCTTTGGAAGGTAGTTTTCTTTTCCGGTATATGCCTCTCCTCAGAGACCACACTCCAAAGTATCTTGGAAAAAAAAAGTTGTGTTTCTCAGTGTCTGAGAAAAAAACAACTACTAGCTAGAATATCTTCTTTAATAAACTAATGCAAATAAAGAATGACTCTCATGGATAGAATGAAATCATTAATTGGCATGAAATATGGAGATCTGGCAGAGGTACTCTCTAAAGGAGACTTAAAGGAACACTTTAATGTCAGAAATACATGTTTATCTCCCTCTCCCCTCTCTGTGGAAATAAAAAGTTTTTAACTTATTTTTTGTTAACCACAGCACCTTGGCCAGACCCTCCACCATGGAAAGCATTGGCAGGCTAAGGCGCATGCTAGACAAAATGCCACGCTGCCCCAATCAGCATCTCCTCTTAGAAATGCATTAAATTAATGCATCTCTATGGGGAGAATTCAGCGTCTCCATGCAGAGTGTGGCGTGTTTCTCATTATCATAGTTTTTAGCAGGGTTTTCAGATCATGAAGAAACTACTTCTGAAATTATTTTAACAAAAGCCTAAGGAGAAGCAGGTTGGTGCTTTGTTAAAACAATCTGTATACAAGCACCTGCCTTCCATAATCTTATCAAATGTCACACATCCTTTGGTCTATCTGGATAAACAAGGGATCTATCATGTGGGCTGAAATGACAGAAAGAAAGAGCTACATTTGTAAGTACACCAGGTAGAATACCTTTAAATGGATAATTCACTCACATCACAATTCTAGAGCGCAACACATCTCTAACGAGGCAAGGTTCCATATATAACAATGGACTGTTCATAAACAACTTTACACTACATACATATAATATAAATATAACATTATAAATATGCACACACACACAAAAAAGGAAAATATTAAGGGGCATACCTGCGCTGATCTTTAAGAGCAACACAAGAAAAGGCAATGGAAAAAAGACAGAATGCAGAAAACAAAAACAAAACCTCTGATGCATTTAAATCAGGCACCCTAACTGGAATATTGTTCATAATATCAGTGTTATAACTGCCACATATGTGATCTATACCGTGCATGCACAATAACGCCAGTAATTATGGTTGTGTCTGTGATTCACACCATACCATGACTCACAGTATAAAAAGAAAGGACAATAACCTTTGGCCAGTTTTACTTATCGTTTTGAAGTATTTCCTGTCCTACAAGATGACGATTTTGGTACGGTTTGTTTCCATACCTCCATATTTGTACGCTGCCTTGAAAGGTAGTTTTATTTTACCGTATATGCCTCTCCACAGAGACCATACTCCAAAGTATCTTGGAAACAAAAAGTTGTGTTTCTTAGTCTCTGAGGGGTTGGAGCTACCCATTGTCATTGCTGTCATTGAATGCAATTAGGAATAAAGTTCCGGAAGCCAATCCTAAAACAAGTTAAATTAAATCCGTGGTAATACGAACTTCTGTTTGGCGCCCAGCGAGCTTTTTATTCCTGTTTTTTAATCATGTTTTAAAAAAGATTCACCCTACAGGGCAGCACTAACTTTTTTACAACCCTGTAACGAATCCCTACTAAAATAACTATTGCTTAGTTATCGCTTTAAAGTATATTTTGGCCATAGATAATAAAGGAGGAGACTTTTTTTTGTATTACACTTTAAAAAGCATACTAAACGTTTATTACATTTAAGTAGGTAGTGGCTATTTTTCTATATTTGTAAACCAAACAACTCCGCCATTGCAACAAAGTTACTTTTTTTACCTTAAGTCCCATTGTTAACAGAGTTTAACTACTTTTCCCAAAGCCTTTCCCATATAGATACATTCATAAGTAAAACATTGCATGACCAGCCTTGTGTGGCAGTGAAGCGGTTAAGGCTTTCAATGTCCATCAAACTGATTTGTTCCTGGCTTATTGCCTTCCTTGCTCTATCCATTTGAGTGTCGAGTACTTTTCTGTAAGCGCATTTCTCAGTTGTGTCGTGTGGGGTTTATCTCTGGTCTCTACCAGACAGGTAACCTGAATGAAAGGAAACAAAAAAAGAGCCCAAGGCTAATTAGATAAAAGTCTCATTACTTTAGATAGGTTACATCAACCACAAAGGGACACTGGGTTTTTTATACAAATTCTATATTCATGAAAAACTAGAAACATAGACAATGACAATGCATTGAAGCGTCAATGAAATGATAAAGCAAGCAAATACAAGAATAAAAACATTTGCAAACCCTTTAGAATTACCAGGATTTCTGCATTAAAGGACCACTATAGGCACCCAGACCACTTCAGCTCAATTAAGTGGTCTGGGTGCCAGGTCCCTTTAGTTTTAACAATGCAGCTGAAAACATAGCACTAAAGGCGCTTCTGTGATTCTCACTGTGAAAATCATAGTGAGAAGACGCTGGACGTCCATAGGAAAGCATTGAGTAATTGAGTAACGCTTTCCTATGGACAGTTTGAATGCACATCTGCATTTGGCGCTGACGTCGGCAGGGGAAGGAGAGTCGCCAGCGCCGAGGGAGCCCGGCGCTGGATTAAGGTAAGTGGGGGCCATGAGGGTGTGGGGGCCAACGAGTTTGTTTTCCTGGCACTATAGTGCTCCTTTAATTACAAATAAAATATGGTGTGATTTTTGTCCAGATCACAATTAAAGACAACTAATCTGGCTAAGCTAATAACACACAGTTGCATTTTTCAAATTTCTTCAGGCATCAGGACTGCTGATGCCTCTGGCGGATATCTGCAGAAAGGCGGAACCTTTGTTCCATGGTACATCCACAAACTATCAACTACTCATGGATGAGGAGAAACATTCCCCTCTCAAGTTCCAATCCCTATGGGAGGAAGCACTCCACATGATATTGATTTTCCAGATCACACGGGTCAGCAACACACGAAGGGTGCAGGTAGCCGTGACTTATCTAAGGTCGCATAGCCGCAAGTGAATCAGGCGACTTTCACAGGGGAGGGAACAGGAAAATACGACTTGGGTAGAATGAGAAGGAGACGTTACAGACTATTGATGGATTGACCGCCCTTGATCCAGCTAGGGTCATTGTCGCTCCCCAAACAATTAAATAGCCATAACAGACAGGTCGAGGAGATATCCCACCTGCTGCGCATAGCCATCTCCAACAGGGTGGGCGATTCCATTCCCTAGATGAAGAGGGTTGCAGTGCCTTGTGAGTGTCTTCTGATCCAGATGGTGCTTAGTGCATGTAAAAGAGCAGGAGACACAATATAGTGTAGTAGGTACTTATACTTGGTGAAGAAAATATAGAAATGCACTTACAGCTTTTTGCATTTCTATATTTTCTTCACCAAGCATAAGTACCTACTACACCAGGGCCGGACTGGGGATTCCAAAGCAGCCCTGGAAAAAAAAATCTATGCCAGCCCCATAAGTCATTGCGCCATATATTGTTGCATGTAATATCATGTAATATGTAAGGCTATGTCTTGCCACCCTAGATGATTGATATATATATATTGCTTTTTCCAATATAAAATATTGGTCCTTTCAGAGTAAATTTTTTAATTATACAGTAAGCATACTCACATGCAGACACAATCTCACTGACACAAGCTGATTGATACACAGCCTCATAGACAAACAATCTCACTGATATACATAAGGTCATTGACATAAAAACACAAGCTCACTCAGTAGCAAACACACACACACACACACACACACAAGCAAGTCCACTCACTAGCAGACGCGCACACACACAGCTTAATGTAGTGGTTCTGGTCCCTGCAGTCTTTTCAATGTAAACACTGACTTTTTAGAGAAAAGGCAGTGTTTACATTGCTTCATAGTGACAGACACTCAGACGGTCACTAGAGGTGCTTCCTGTGTCAGTGCGAATTGGTTGAGATCACCAAGATTGATGATCTCAGCCATAGAGGCAGGGCCAGTCGAAGGGAGACCAGCACGACGTGGGGGGGGGGAAAGGTGAGTGAAAACACACATACATACCTGAAAAGACACACACCATGACACAGACAGACCGTGACACAGACACACACATGCCGTGACACAGACAGAAACACAGACACACCATGACACAGACAGACACACCATGACACAGACAGATACACACATACCATGACAGACACACACCTTAAAACAGACACACACACACCTTGACACACACACACCCTAACACAGACAGACCGTTACACAAACACACACACACTGTGACACAGACACACATTACATGACACAGACAGACACACACACCATGACACACAGACACACACACACCACGACACAGAGAGACTGTGACACAGAAAGACACACACCACGACACAGAGAGACTGTGACACAGACACACACACACACCACGACACAGAGAGACCGTGACACAGACACACACACACCACGACACAGAGAGACTGTGACACAGAAAGACACACACCGTGAATCAGACAGACACACATTACATGACAGAGAGACACACATTACATGACAGACACACACACACAATGACACAGACACACAATGCATGACACAGACACACACACCATGACACAGACAGACACACACAATGACACAGACACACATTGCATGACACAGACAGACACACACAATGACACAGACACACATTGCATGACACAGACAGACACACACACCATAACACAGACAGACACACACAATGACACAGACACACATTGCATGACACATACACACACACACACACCATGACACAGACAGACACACCATGAAAGACACACACACACAACATGACACAGACAGACAGACACACACATACCATGACACAGACACACCATGACAGACAAAGACAGACACACACAATGATACAGACAGACACACACAATGACAGACAGACACACACACCATGACATAGACACACACACCATGACAGAGACACACACACACACACACAATGACACAGAGACACGCATAATGACACAGACAGACACACACACCATGACAGACAAAGACACACACACACACACAATGACACAGAGACACACACACACACACACCATGGCAGACACACACACTATGACAGACAGAGACACACACACCATGACACAGACACACACACATACACTCACACTGACACTCTGCATGGGGGAGCTGGCTCTTCTTGTGGCCGCAGAGGGAGCTCTTTTGGTGGCCGCAGGGGGAGCAGGCTGTTCTGTCTCTGCTCCCCCGCCCTCCCACTGCTTAATGAGACCGGGGCCGGAATATGACGTCATATTCTGGCCCCGGTCTCTTTCTAGCGCGCGGGGGAGCAGAGACAGAACAGCCAGCTCCCCCTGCGGCCGCCAAAAGAGCTACCTCTGC